TGTCGCGCTTGTTGAGATATAGAATGCGTCGAATCTCCGCCTGAAGAAGTCGCATTTTAAAGAAGTGTATTGCGATACACTTGGGTAGAATTATTCTGGCTCCTGGGCGTATTCCTTCGCGCGTGATGTTGTGATCTTCTACCGGTTCGAAAAATTTGACGTTGATATGATCGTGGCAGACGGAGTAACAATTGGGTCGTCCTAGACTATGCGAGAGACCATACTCCATGGATATGACGATCCAAAACATCCTCCTTCGCATGTCGATTTCCAAGGGATCCAGGAGCTTGCCATCCGACGACCTAGTGATAGTCGCTTCATCGGTAAGTCCAAGGTCTTGACATAGCTTCACAGCCATTCCAACAACCCAATAAGCGGCGGTCCTCGTGGGGGTCAACATCGAATACTGTGCTATTAGCGCCAGACATTGCAGAGAACGAAGATCCCTCCGTCTTAGTGATGCCTCAAGGTATGGCAGCGCAGCGAGATAATAACTGTCCGCTAACCCAGCATACACCGGGCTCATTTTTTGCATGCTGATTGCTATCACTATTCGTAATTGGAAATTCTGACACGGGTCGTCCGACCCGTTAAAAACCTCTTCAACATCTTGACGAAATGTTGGTTCGTGTAGCGTGGGTAGCATAGCTTGTGCTAAAGAGCAGGTCAACCAAAGTCCAGCAGGAGTCACGCAGTCGGGCCATACCCTTCACAGAAAAGACATCAATCAAGCGGTAGGTTCTGTGCTTGGGGGGTAGTTTGGTTTGAGGTGCTGAGCTAATCATGGGATAAACTTTGGAGGTCGGCTTCGAGCTCTCGGCTGCGAAAGCATGCTTGATCTCCTGAGCGGTCAATTCGGGAACGACATCCTTGATGCTCTTCGAGTCTGTGTTTTGCTTGGCCATCTCCATAACCAATCGCGTCATGGCGATGCCACTCGATGGCCCGAGGTATCTCGACTCGTCATTTTCCTTGAACCTGATGCGACCGGCTCCCCGCACCATGAGTTCGGCATCTGCAGCATGCTTAAACTCTTTCTCAAGCTCGGCAAGTTCATTCTCAAGCCTGCGAGCTTTTTCGCGGAGCGAGATAATGTAGGTCCTTGATATGGTACATTTACGGGCCGAATCGTAATATACGCACTTCGCATTGCTGCGCTCGCATGGCGCACATCTCGGTATCCCTGGGTCGCACCTAGATTTTCGCTTTTAAAGGCATTAGCGGGGAGTTCATATTACTGCTCTCGAAGGTAAAATGATCGCGCAGGGTATGGGTGGCGGGTAAGCGGGGGAAGACACGCACCTGTCTGCACCGGGTACAAGCGGTCAATGTATGCGCGATGCGGCCATCAGGAGTTTGATTGGAAGGCTCCACAGCCGTGGATGGTGCTTCCTTCCATGGGTTGGTAAAGTGAGGGCGAGAATTCGAGGATGATTGCGTCGCCATGGTGGTGGTCGTGGCAGATGCCCCTAAGAATGGGTTGATCCAAAGATCACAATGCTAGCCAAGGTGTATCGTATCGTCAATGGGGCATGCCATGAAAGTTGCATATGGCCCGAGGATTGTTTTTCGAAGTAAATAGGATAAAAGAGGGGCAGAAATAAGGCCAGGACATCAGGCACAGGTGTTTTTGAGATATTGATAGGACACCTGACGAGACAGCACGTTCGACATATTCAGGGTTCGTTCCGACGTGGGCCCAACGGCAAAGGGAAGGTAGGCGGCGGCGATGTACCTGGGGGGGGGGGGGGGGGGGGGGG